AAATGAGTTTAAGTGTTTCAGAGCTTTCAAAGCTATTTTTTTAAACTTTTCTGTAAATAAAGTAGCAACTCTATGAAAGAACTTCAACAGCCAACAGCAAAGACTAAATAACAAAGTCTGTTATCAAAGGGAATATAAAATGTGGAGAATACTTGCTCAGGAAGAGCTTTTATCACCGCCATCAAAAGATACCAGTGCAGGCTCCCATGAGAGGACATTACAGGTGATCCTCAGGGAGCACAGAACTGGGTCGCTTCCATTTTCTCACTGGCCCTAATGACAGACCTCAGGGTTAATGAAAAGCAGGGAATGGTGGCGGGAAAGAAAATGGTAGGCTTTGGTCTGTTCTCAGATATAAGCACGGGTTCTTAAACATTTTCCACCTTGGAGGAATAACAATACATTTAGTCTCCCTGAGGAGACCAGAATTAGCAAGACACATTAGTGTTGCTAACAAACATAAAAGGCTGCAATGAACCTGCAATGTAATACAATTAGTAAGGCTTCCTTTCATTTGCTCAAAACACTGTTTCACTTTATAATGGCCAAACTGTCTGTTGTTTTACTATAAGCAGAGTCATCTTAGCACAAGGTGAAACTTTGAGGAATGTGACAGGGAAAAATAGAGACAGGTTAGTACATTTACAGTTTTAAAAAAGCCCTATTGCAGACAATTTTATATATACCCATTACAGATTTAATTTTACAAATTGTGTGATGTGATGTTGAAAAATGTGTGGTGAAGACATTCAAGGTCAAAATCCAAACAAACCGAGGAAGAGAAGTGAAAATAAGTATAGTGCGTGCAAAAAGATAAACTTAATGGGGTTAGAAGGTGAAACTTAACTTCTTGAGGACAAAGAAAGAAACATTTAGAGAGCTACTATGAGACTGACACACAATATTTCCCCAGTTAGTTAGCTACAAGCTGTTTCTTTGTAAATAAATGACTTATTATCGGACCATGTTTTAGCTTCGAAGTTGAAAATGGCTAAGTCCATCATTGTTTGTGACACAAGACATCTTTGTGTAAAATATTATGTAGTGTTATAATGTGACGCACAGTCAGGTTCTCTATCACCAATGGTACAAGTAAACAATTGTTATAGGGAATGTGTTATGCAGACAAAATGTGTAAACGCTGACATCCTCGAGTCAAATATTGGCTCTACCTTTTTCATGACATTAAAAAGCCAAGCGCAAACTAGATTAAAATCTGTGCAACTCTCGATCATTAAGATCATTGTGTTGGTGTGTAGCAGCTTTGTGCTGGGTTAGTGTCCCTCCCACATACAAAGCAAACAATGAGAGGCAATAAAGCAAATCACCATTAGAGACAGTCTCTGGCTAGGACAACAAACACACACCCATACATTTTCTTTTATTCACAACAGGAGATCATGAGGAAGTTTGACACCACTCCAACCCAACAATGTTGTGGTTTTTAAATGAGAGCCAAGGATCTGTGAATGAGCTGCACTGCTACATGACGAATGGCAGGACATCAGAGAGCACTAAATCTATGGGTCTGAAAAAAAGTCAAGCTGCTTGCCTTATGAAATTTAGATTTATTATTGGAAATCCTATTTGCCTGTAAAAACTTTAATTGTGGTACTATGTTAAAATCGTTTTTCCAAAATGTTTGCCGTGTCACTGATGAGTTTGTAGCACAACTCAACTGCCCTGTACAGAACGTCTCCTTACTCATTTCCCTCTCTACTTCCTCGGGGTGTGTTTGATGGACTGATGTTATTATCTCTACCACCTTCATCCCTCCGTCTTCAAAGGCGGAAGATGACTGTATCTATCAGGCTTTAATGTGCTTAAGAGACGCCTCGGGCACTGTAGTGCTCCACTCCCCGTCTGAGCGAAGCTCCGCAGGAAAAAGGGGACAGCCTTGTGTGTACAGAGATGAAATAACCATATTCCTCCCATCATTGTCGATGTTTACACTGAACATAGATGCCCTGAATTGTCTGAAATAAATCTAACTCTGTACTGTATGTGGATGCAGTAAGCTGACAAGGGAAGTTCAATAAATGTCAATGAAAACATCAAATCTGGACTGTAAATCACAATGTGAGGTATGTGCTCATTTGGATTGATTTATACTGGGAAATACCATGTAACACTGGAAAAGGCATGTGAATGTGTTACTGTGTGAATGTGATCAGGGCTTCCCCGAAATAAAGAGAACTGCTTATAATAAACTTCCCCCTGAATAAATAAAGTTTAAAAAAGGCATTTTCAAGTTCATGCCATGTTTGATGTCTCTCTGAAACACTTCCTGTAATATCGGTCTTTTGAAGTCTTTTTTTTTCGCAGAAAAACAACAGTGGTTTATTTGTTCAGTCCGCTCAAGCAGAGCGTTATTACAAACTCACCGAGTCATTCTCATGCCCTGCGTCTGGATGAAATACCAGAACCACTCCACTGGAATTCCTCGATTCCCCGTACTGACTCCCACTGCTTTGCATTGTTTTGTGTGCATGTGTGTGTCTGCTGTATGCGCACACCACTATAGCCTCTGTTTCCAGCTCCCACATGATGACATTGTTGTCATAGCCACGTCAAGAGAGCGAGCCGCAGACGAGCAAACCGAGCACTTGACTGGATTCAATTCTAAGTAATATGCAGTTGTTGTGCTGCCTTGTGTTGGCAGATCACAAAAGAACAAATAAGTTATAACACATGTTAATTGTAAAAACATTGTTTTAACAAACAACAAAACACATCCATTCTTGTGCAACACTTTAGGATTAGCTTACAACGAAGAAGACTACAAATCAATATGGTCAACTCTCAAAGTTGGTAAAGGGTAACTTAACTTGTTATTTTAATTGTGGCCCTTTTTGCCATGTTTGAAAGATCCCAAAAGTTAGTCTCAATACAGTAGCTAATCTAGGGGGCATCTTTCTCATGATTTTAAAATTGTATTTAGGGAGAAGTTGTATGTAAAAATCAAGTTTGTAGTATTATATAAACGCTTTAGGAGGCTCATGATACTTCCCCTTGTAGGATGTTATCCCGGAGTCTCATTTTACATACACATAGTCATATTGACGTTAATAAAATGTAAAGAAAATAAGGCAATATTCCTCTTAGTCAAGATTGTGTAACACTATACTGGAGTAAATTTGATTGTGTTGAATATTATAAGTGGATAATATTATACAAGAACAAATTGAACTTCAAATGAGTGTTTCTCTCCATGTTCATGATGTGATGTAACATTGTAACACTGATGGCTTTAGATTCTTACATATACTGACAAGTGTGATTTTCTTCTTTTCATAGAAACCCACTTTCTCCTGCTGCTTCCCACTTTAGCCTGCTCACAGAATATTTAGCAGAGTACAAGAGAGGTGAAGGTTAAGCTCATCTTCTAAGTTATCTTGCACGGGGTGTGGACACAAGTGTGGCTGATAACACACAATATCAAATCCTAAAGCAGACATGTTGGCTGTGCAGGTCTATTCCCAAAGCTATTCAAAGTTTCTTCACCATCATTTCTATTTCTACTCCACACAGAGCTGTATAACTAAAAGCTTCTCAGTCCACTGAGAGCTGTATAACTAAACGGCTTCTGCGATTTCCACCCACAGCCACACATATTTAACGTGGTGTGTGCATTGACTCACAGCAACTGAAAGCTTTGTGATTCAACCATCAAACGTTATGGACTTTGCTCGAATACTGATTTACCGAAGAAACTCTTCTGTCTTAACTATCAGCCCTTCATCCGGTTCAAGCCCCGAAAGAGTCAATATGCATTTTTAATGATCTACCAGGTTCTTAATTATTTATCCTTCAGTGAATTTGCTGCCCGCTGACCATTAATGGTCTGAGCTTCTATTTCCACCTGACCAATAGATGACATTGAGGCTGATGGAGAAACAGAGGTGTGACTGATAAATGAAATACCTCAATGTATACCTTAGATGTTGATTTAGAGCGACTTTTCATTGATGTTGACAAATATTTAAAGGGAGGTGCCCATGGAGAGACATGAGGCAGATACTATGTGAAGTAAAACAGACAGGTAAGTGTGCATTTTAAAATCCAAATTGCCTGATTTCTTGTAAAGTAACCAGGTTTTTAGATTCAGTGTCACTTACATTACAAGGGATATCCTTATCTCTGATATCTGTAGAAAAATATTTTCTTTTTCTTTTTTAAACGCAAATCTTTAGAAATGTTGAGAGAATCAGTACAGTACGTCCTGAGAAGTTTTCTTTCCCATCAAAGAACTCCATTGAGAGTTGTCTGTGCATCCTTAGTTCCTTTTAAACAGGGATGACTGACAATAGCTAGTTCAGCATTGTTTTAATGGGGGCAATTTGATTAAAAACTAAATAAATATAGGCCAAACAAACAGGGGCACAACTTAGTTTACATTTGAGTCTAAATTCATCAAACTGCTATAGATCATTAGTCGTTCAGATCGTATGGCAACACTTTCTTGTACAATTTGCAACGGAGGCTTAATATATTGGCCCACATACAGAAAGCGCCACAGAGGAAATAACCCAAATACTAGGAGGCATGTTGGCAATCACTCACAAAACCTTCTTATAAATGAAAAAATATGAAACAGGAAAAAAAGCTCACTGATGATGATGCTGGTTCCGAGAATGTGAAGAAAAGATAACAATGCTTTTTGAAAACCTTCTATAACAACATAAAAACAATGCCCAGTCCTCAGACTAAATGAAAACGGAGCTTATAGAGTGTTTATTCTTTTTCTCACTATCTCTCTAACTTAAAAATTGTATGAAATTAAACTCAAAATCAAAGTATAGCTGAGTGATGCTTAATGTGACTGAAATAATGATCTCCTTTCAAGTGCTCAATAAAAAAGAGAGAGATGAAAAGAGCAAGGTTTTGATGTTCTTAAATGCAATCTGTACATTCCAAGAGCAGGAACATGGGGAGAAATAGACAGACACAGATGTCCCCTTAATGAAGAAGAAGCTTGAAAGCAGCAGCAGTTGACTCACCAAGACTCTGTTCTCCGTCTTGTCTCCTTTGATCTCCAGTTTGACTCTCCTCCTCAGTGACAGCTTCACCTTCCTCCCCACTGCATCCCTCACACTCTCTACACAGGGAAGACGAGAGAGCAGATAACGTAATGAGAGACTCACATTTGGAAATACTTGCATACCTGTGCATTGAATTAGAAGTAAAAGAAAAAAACTGCGAAGAGGTTTATCTAAAAAAAAAAATGTATTTGCCTTTGTTAGCTCCTAAAAAGTACGTTTACAACCCTAACTCTAACTGGTTTATTGATCAGAACTGGGTCAGACACCTCTCCATACTTCTCACTCCTCTGCCACACAGGGGCTGGTTTAGTCTGTGAACATGTGTCTGAGAGGGATTCTGTGTGTGTGCGTCTGTGCTGGCTTCCTCGCCTACAGGCTTCCACAAACCATCATCTGATCAAAGTGAAACTAATAATAAGGCAAAGCGCAAATCTGCCATCCTTTCTAAACAATCTCCATGGAAAATGTCCTGCTTAAGCATTTCCTAAAATACAGTCTTACTGCAGACACCTAATGAAATGAAATGCTTTAATGAGACCAGATAGTTTTCAAACCAGGAAAAAAAAAACTCCAGACTCTCATATATCATTTTTAAAAATTAATTCCATGTTCTGCTCATATATTACAACGGTGACAGGAGTGGGCATTTACTAGCCGGCTGTCTGGTGGTTTGCATAAGACAGTTAAGGCATGTAAATGTGGTCACACTGGCATGAATTTCAGTAGGGACTCGTGTGGAAGGTGGGGAAATGGAAGACCTATGACCTTGTAAAAAACTCAAACAAACAATTTACAAGCCCATAAAATCAGTCTCTCATTTATTGACCCACAGCTAACCCAAAATTGTTCATTGATGTGATGAGATCACAAATCAGATTTGTGGTGTTCATCTCTAGAGAGTTGCAATTGGAAAACCTTTTGGAGATGTTTAGGATATAAACAACAGTGTTAGACTATGGTAGTGAAAACAATACAGGATAAAAAACAGAAGAAACAATTGTTCATAATGTAACAACATTTCTATTGTTAGTGATTTATTATTTATGCGAATAAATCATAAACTTATTTTAGGATCTTTCATTTAATGCCGTCTAAAAACTGCTTAATTGTGAGCAGATTCAATAACATACACCTCACCAAATTGTCCATGAGCTGTGCTTTGCTATGCTTCGTCCCCTTCTTAAATTCAACTTCCTTTTCCTCAAAGGTCTGTCCCACAAACAGATGACACAGTAACCCTGTTTTGACACAGCAGGACAGCCCTAGCTGCTAGAACTTCAACTGAACACCTGAAGGCATCGCTTTGCCTGATCACTCAAGGGTAACAGGTTTACCAGACATCATTCAAACATATTTGAAGGTTGTTTCTCCCTTTGTCTTCTGCTTTCATAAGTGTTTGAATGCATGTCAGTAAAATATTGTCTCGGCATTAGGGGTGTAACGGTACACGTACCCGTACCGAAATTATTCGGTACGGGCCCTTCGGTTCGGTACAGGTGTGTACCGAAGTGTACCGAACGAATATAACGTTGAACGTAAAAAATTGAGAACGTGAACAACTTCTTGGAAGTAATCTCAGGTGCTGCGTCGCAGCATTCAGAGTAATTTGCTCACATTGGGTTCAACGCGTCATAGAGCGAGCAAGTCATTTAATTGGATGAGAGGCATACTATGAGAGCTGGTCAGAGGGATGCGTTCTCTGTAGTCAGTAATTTGAGGAACTGTCGAAATGGCGAACGCAGATAAAGTTGAGCTCGAAAATCCTCCAGCATCATTGAAGTCTCCGGTTTGGGAACATTTTGGTTTTGCAGTTACGAACAAGGATGACGGACAAAGACAGGTGGACCGAACCAAAGCTGTTTGTCGGCATTGTTCAACTAACATTGGTTACGCGGCTGGCAATACATCACACTCATTTGAAAAGGCATCACCCGAACGTGACTATCACCGGTACCAAAAGAAAAAAGACTGAAGTGCAAACCCAACTCCCGCTAGCATGTAAGCCTCCACCACTCGCAACAAGTTCAGACCGAGCCAAAGCTATTACAAACGCCAAATATCCTTATGTTGCCATGTTAGCAAAGCGCTACCTGGCTGTATCTGCTACCTCTGTCCCTAGAGAGGGTTTTCTCCACAGCAGGAGACATTGTTAGTGCCAGCAGATCTGCCCTTTCGGCAAGCAATGTGGACAAGTTCATTTTTCTTTAAAACAACATGAAAATACAATGACAAGCAAGTCATAATGTCAAGCTGGCTGCTTAGGAACTAGTACAGTACAGTTCAAATACAGATTATTTCAGTTCATCGAAATGCTGCACCTTAATGTTTATTTTATTATATGTTGTATTTATTTGAGTGAATACATTATTCACAGTTTAATAATAATAATAAATATATATATATATATATGTTTTGTTTTGTGAAAAAAAATTATGCTGTACCGAAAACGTACCGAACCGAACCGTGACCAAAAAACCGAGGTACGTACCGAACCGAAATGTTTGTGAACCGTTACACCCCTACTCGGCATACAAACACAGTTTCTGAAGGTTAGATCCTCTAAATGTTCTGTAACTCAGTCTATGGTGTTTATTTCTGCAGCATCACTCTGAAATGCGTTGCAGATACTGGATGCCAACAGTGATTTTGAATGCTGCTGAATCACCGGCACCAGCATATGTTTCAAACAATGGCTGGTTACATACTCATCCAGACAACCCCACATGGTATGCGATACATGACCATGACATACTGAATTCCTAAGTGGGCTGTTAAGTGTGCAGTGTTAGGAAAATTGGTGAAGCTAGAATCAGGAAAAGTCTTGAACTTTCTCACTCTATGTTGAGTGGATGTCGGAAATCTGTGTTTCTAGTCCTGGATAAAGTGAGAAAAAACAAAGAATGTTTCCCCATCTATACAGGAATTCAGTATGTCAGCAGACTAACCATATTATATAAAACTGAAGCATTGTTATTTATGGGAAAGGTGAATAAAATGATGAATCAGACATGTGGAATGTTTCCATCGATAATGTTTACTGGATAAAATGATATTAAGCTACATAACCGTCAAAAATGTATGTTAAATCCTAAGCAAAAGGACACGATGTTGTCCTCCAGCTTCTGTAAGATAACTATTGTAGGTGCTGAAAAAACAGACTGGATGACAAAAAAAACATGATAGTTGGGTGAGAGTACAGGGATACAAAACGTATAAATAATCAAATGCATGTATCACCAACTGAATAGATGACATAGCATTTTCCACCAAGCCTTATCTACATTCTGCACTATGTATTTCTCTTTAAGAAATATATGGAGCCAGATGAACATTGTATGCTTGTGAGAGAGGGAGAAAAAAAGCTTGTGCTTGTCCAACATTGCACTGAGGTGTCAACAACTGAACTACTTGCCAAACAAAGAGACCCTGAGCTTGAGCCAAACAGTCAGCAGGATTCTAAAAGGTAAGTCCACAATCAGAACAAATAAAGCATAAGAAACCTGGCAGACTTTAGCCAAGAGGACAGACCACTAAGGCTAAAGTATTTGAGAGTGGACCAAGGTTACTGTGGAAATAAACGTGCAACTTATGTGGTAAAACCAGCTGGCCACTCACATATAAACTATTTAGCTTTTCTTCCAAATATAGGCTCCACACTGCATCAACAGTACATCCACCTCGATCAACAACAGCTCAGCTGCATGTTTACACAGCTTCAAGCTATACTGCAGCCAAACATAATGGATTAGTGTATAAAGTAAGATTTTGACTCTTTATGAAATGCTTTTTTAATCACAACGTATATTTTGGCAAGATACTTAACGTTAAAATATAGCGTTGCTATTGTGTCTCAGCCACAGTAAGTCTCTGGCTGTTCTGTATGAATGGGATATATTATATTGCATCAGTTCAGTAAGGACAGTACAGGAGTACACATGCACACTGTGAGTCAGGAATATGAGAAAGGCAGTATCAGGGATTGTTGCAGCCTGGACACATGGCTACTACAAATGATCAATTCTTACCCAGAAGCTCTTTGGGGACCTCTGACACTTCCTCGCTCATTTTGCTGAAGATAATAATCCCAAAACAACGAAGAGCGTTCAGTCAACACATGGAGAATACTCCAATTCTGAGGAAACAAGGAGCGAGAGACAGAAGTGTCAGGTGCTGCCCGCCGGTGCAGTTCTCCCGGTTACATGCTCCTCTCGTCTCGCGGTGTCCGGACAATGTAATCGCGTTTATCCCGGCGCATGTCCTCTCGGTTTAAACAGGGTTCACGGGTTGTATGTTGGAGAAAGAGTCAGTCCGCTAAGGTCCCTTTAAAATCATGTTGAAACCAGGCACATTGTGCGCTTCAGGCAGATGAAAAGAGCAGCGCTCGCGCACATCCTCTGTGGCCGTGGCCCTAACGTAAAGCGGTCGGTAATACAACAGCCGAGCAGTCAATAGTGGGAACCGGGGCCCCTCCCCACGCGGTGATGCGACAGCCAGGGAGCCGATGCGATGCCGGGGCGGTGTGGCGTGGCACGAGGGGGCGGTGGTGGTGGTGTCAGCCAGATATTAATGAGACGTCTACAATGGTTTTGCCCAAACTGCGAACCAGGGACCTCTAGCGGTCCTTGGTGTAGTCTCGTGGGGACCTAATCCCATGCTGCAGCACAGGAGGTAGCTGTACATAACCAGTAGGCTACTATTCCCAGTGGATTATATAGCCATAGTATGGGATAGTAATACAGGTTTAAAGCTAATTTATAATAATGTCACTTTGAAATCAGACTAGGAGTAAAATGCACTCCAAATCCATGTAGCGATATTATGGGTAATTTAAAGTGTTTTTGCAGAGATCTCTTTTAATGAACATAGCCTATTATTGTCATTATTATTTCAACAAAAAATCAGATTTATAATACTGTAGGCCTACTTGTTTGGGCATTGCAGTGTCTATTTTGATCCTGAAACACGGAAAGGTAACATGCGTATATAAAAGAATGAAAATATATCGCGCTTCACCATGTCTCATATTGTTTCAGACATTTCATTGTATGCAAACGTTTTATTTGACAATGACCAGAGTTAAAGAAAGAGGAGGTCGACACCTTGTGGTCATTCAGTTCAAATACAGCCAGGCTCAGATTAGGCGACAACATACCGTACACTTTATTTAGCTTTTACACATAACAGTTTGATATCACATAATTTTTAGAGAACGTATTATACATGTCTAATATAACATTAATTTAAGATAAAGTTACATTTCGTATCAAAAATAAGTTATTATGTAACGCTTGAATTTCACAATATGTTTCCATATTTTACACATCTCTCAATTTTGGACATGTATTCACCTTTTCCTCCTTATAAATCTGAAGCTAACAGTCTGACCTACATTTAAACATAAACAAAAAAAACAGATAAACATCACTAGTTCAGTGCAGTAATCTTAATGAAAAAAAACTTGTTTTCAAATTAGGCAAAAGGCCAAATAAAATTAAGAGGTATGTTGTGCACGTGTGTTGTATGCACCATATACTGTCAGTCTACATCTAAACATCTATAAATGGTGAAGTACAGTTTGGGCTCTGCTGTTTCATCTTATCTACTACCATCTCTAGTTTTTCTTTCATGTGGCAGAGATTTGAAGCCTTCAGCATAAGTGGCAATGTTTTCAGCTGCTCCTCTGGAGCCTGAGCCAGCCACGTTAGGATTAGATCCATGAGAGGTCCTCTCTCTTTGGGTAGAGTCGTGCCGCTGAGATGCACCCCCTCTTCTGATTTATGAATGTAGCTGTTGGAGGGAGATGATGGTTTCGAATTATAGGGAATAGTGGAAAGGAAGTGAAACAAGGAAAATGTACAGAGGAGCAGTGTGTGGGTTGACTAGGCTCACCTGGCAATAAATAACGTCATTTTTGCCACGCGCATCCTCTGCCTGCTGAAGAATCCTGAGACGAATGTCCTGAGTGTCTCACCTGAGAAAGAATGTCTGAGTTTAAAATCCAATTTCTTTATCGTTTGCATACACAAAAAGACAAATAATCTTGAAGAATTTTAATTATTTTAAATAATGTTATATTTCACTGCTGTGCTGAGTACATACTTCCATTTGAAAGATATTCGCAGGACCCACACAATGTGTCGTGGTTATTTGAGCCGGGAAGGAGTGCAATCTGTCCGCTTGCGCATTCCTGGTGTTTTACGCACGACTCCAGCGCAGAAGATGATTTGGAGAAGTAGCCATCGGAACACTTTTCACAAACAGTGTCTATTTGTGACGTACCTACAGATAACAAGAATGCATTTTGGCTCAAAACAATGTTGAGATTTACGATTAAATCATGTTTGGGTGGGTGTATGTTAGCTTTCAGCATAAAATCATATTGAAAGCCAATCGTTACAAAGTAAAATAAGAAATTATCGTTTCTCTGTTACATACCCTGAGTTTTAACACCGTTTCCGGGCCCGCACTTTGAGTGTGTCCAACAGAACTCATTGGTCATGTAGAAGCCCTGTTTGCACCGACAGACCCTGTTGGTGGTCGCAGTGCACTCCGTCTCCACCTCCTGGTTCTCCATGCAGTAGTTGTTGCAGTAAAGACATCGGGGCAGGTAGTTCCATAACTCGGTAAAGTGGCGGCTTCTGCACGGTGCGCACACGGTGGGCGTGGTGGGGGTGCAGTACGCAGTCATGTGCGTGCCGGGTGGGCACTTGTCACAGATGAGGGTTTCTCTGGTGGATGGGTCTCGGTGGTTAAAAGTGGGGGGAACGGATTCCACCACCGCGACACCTTGGAGGACCCCAGAGAGCAGGAAGAGCGCAGGTAAAAGGAGCTGAGGAGAGGATCGTGATTGGTTAGTTACTGTATATGCAGGCTTTTTCTGATACTGTTTTTTATTAATAATTAAACACCAGTGTCTTTACTAGCCTACAGTTTATTTCAATTAGCCTCTTTATTATGTACAACTATGCCATTCATCTTTACCTTTTTCTAGAAGACAGAACACATTACACCAGAGACATTCAAATAATGGTATAATGTGACACGATTTTTTGTTTTTACATATTTCTTACAGCTTCATCAACCTCATCAGTAATAGTCTGATATATATTTGCAATTTTGTTTAGTTTTACTCACTTAATTGACTTATTTCACTTCGAATTCCTTAATTGGAAAGGAATCAGTGTCTGTGATTTAAATTGTATTGGAATGTACGCAGATCTTTCTAACTTTATTTCATTATTGCACTGCAGCAGACAACATTTGACAGCAGCAGCATTTGTCAAACAATTCTTTATATCATAAAATAAGTTGATTATATAGGATTTAATTCTCCTATTTCTCGTAAGGAATCCTGTTCATAACCCTTAAGAGTACTGACTTGTTAGGTCACTAACTGTTAAAAACACTTTTGATAAATATACATTAGGACTTGTGCTAAAGGCTCCTGATCAGAGTGATCACTTTTTTGTCCATTTTCCATTTTTACAAATTTCAAGAGACATTTCCAAATAAAAAGCCACACACATTTCTCAATTCACTCCAATAGGATATTAAATTACTTTCTGATTATCCAGTATTTTGTTAGTTCACCTGAGAATTTGTATGAAACCTTAAAAAATAGTGGTCATAATCTCGACTGCTACATCTAATAATTATACTTTTTTCTATATTACTTTCATCCCACATACACCAAAGTATAATCCTTAATCTCTGTTTTTGCTAGATTTGATCATTTTACACTACAGAATACTCACCATGTTGATGATGTGCAGGTCGCTGCTTCTGTAGAAGAGGACCAGTGCCATTTATACAGTCCTCCTATAGGACATTTATGTGTGGGCGTGTGTTTTGCAGACAATGAGTTATAACATCTCTTTTGGAAAGGTCAAACTACTTCCGTCATGTAAATTGAATTATGGACACGGCAGTGGCTTTAGGAAGTATTCATTTAGGGTTTTGGGTAATTGGCCAACATGTAACTTTTTCTTTGAATCCATTACAGGCTGTTCCTGGTTCTGTTGTATGTGACAAAAGACTGATATCACTCTTCATAACCAGGAATTAGAAATTACTGGAAATCCTCACCCAGATGTCTCGCTGGCCTTAGTGTCTATAGTCAGTCAATATAATTACAGGATATCTAAATTACAATCAAACAATAATAAGTTACATATTGGGATACCAGCAATACAAATTCAAAAGTAAACCTGTTATGATATACCACATGTATAATCTACAGTCATTTCCAAAGTCTTTTATAAATGGAATGGTGTATCTTAAAATTTCATTTTTTTTGTGCAGTAATTGAGCTATATATCTATATTTATATAAATATGATATTTATATAGATATGATATATTGTTTTAAAATATGATAAAGGTGATATTGTTTTAACATATAGCTCATATGTGAAAACAATGTCTTAACATAATATATCTAAAAACTTGACAAGCAACTTGAGGGGAGAGCAACCCGAAAAGACGTCATTCTAAAATGTCCTTGTGACGTCATCAGGTAATATTTGAGTTAAACCTAAAATGTGTTTTTTGATGATCCAAGCTGGTTGTTGAATGTGTTATAATGTGGCAATAACCTTTATTCTTCTCTCTTTGTAAAATGTCCCCTTTGAATGAGTCACTGTACGTGTAGAGTAAGAAATGTGCAGTGCAATTTAGCAAATCAAAATAGATTACTTTTATGTGATGAGTCAAAAGTGTGTCCGTGACTCAGTTCTCACCCTATTTCCACAGAATATGAGAACACGCTACAACCATGACATGTTTGTAATGAATATTACACTGCAGGCAGGTTATTGGCCAAATTGAGTAGAAGAAAAGCACATCACACTTCCATCGAACTCTATTCAGAAAATATGTTTCCTTGGAATGTGTTTCTAAGCCAGAGTTCAATACTGATGATCCGAGATATGAGGTTTCCAGCACTTCCACCAGTATCCTGATAGCATATTGGCTTTGAAATGTTATCTTTATTTAGCCATAGAGACAATTGTGTGTGTGTGTGTGTGTGTGTGTGTGTGTGTGTGTGTGTGTGTGTGTGTGTGTGTGTGTGTGTGTGTGTGTGTGTGTGTACTTATTTTATCTAAGAAAAATAGACCTACCACTGATGAAATAATTTGACATGCTAAAGCTTCCATATGTACATTTGTATAATTATGTTTAAATAAATATATAGAAACTTTTTGGGCAGGCCAAGTGCTACACAGAGGATTTAAGACTTAACTCACCTAAAAATGAAGCTTTGGTTGTATTGTCAATCTGCTCTTTATGGTTCAAATTAAGGTCCTGCATCTGTCCAGGCAGAAAGCCAATCTTAAATTGGAATGATTTGTCAGGCACTCAGTGATCAAGGCCACTCCCAGGATCAATTCAGTTGCTAATTTATGAAGAAAAAAGGCTTTCTACAAAGTGATTTTATTCAAATCATTTGACATTAGTGTTCACAAGTTACACAAGCTTAAAATGGTCAGGCATATATACAATAAAGGTCATAATAATATAAAAGTGATAAAAACAATATATAAAAAAAATATCACTTCAAGAACTTGCAGCATTCGGAATCCAGTATTTCTGATAAGTAATAAAACAAGCCTTTACATATTCAGAAAGTAAAATCATTATTATTATTTTAAATATAAAACAATTGCACTCCTTTGTACATTCATATAGCTGACAGTTAAAAAAAAATCAGATGAGCTCTACTTGCCAGCAGTCCAGAACAAGCCAACAAACAAAGGACTGTAAAAAATGCACGTATTTCATTATGAAACCAAATCCTTCCTCTCAATCTGCGAGAAAGCAACAATAATAAAAACACAACACCTGCCAGCCTGTCTTCCATAAAATATTGTGCTATTTACAACATAAATAGTTTTTCATTTTTCACAGACTCCGGTCAAAAGTTTCCAGGACATTTATTTATTTATTTCGGCCTGCCTGAAGTACACAAATGTGTTTATTTTTTCTTTTAGGATTATTAAATTCATAACTGTGGACAGATACTCTGGACTGAGGGTGAAACTAAAGGAATCCATTGATACCTCATATAATGAAATCAACCTTATTCTGGCAGAGGGTTTGTCTAGGAAATCATGCAGGCAAAGAAGAATGTACCTCCCGTCTTGCCCTTGTGTTACAGTTTGGCACTATGTGCATAGTTTGATAATATCTTAAAGCCCTGATTGTACCATGTTACCCATGTCTGTTACTCTTTCACATACACGTACCCCTCTGCTCACTAAGTGTTTGTCCTTTTCTGTGTGTTCTGTATCTGACAATGCTTGAGTGTTTGTGTATGCTATAGATGGCACATATTCCTGTGTGTACCTCCCAGATGATTATTCATTTAATGGTTTATGAGCCTTAAAACAGGACTCATCGTGAAGCATACTAACAAACATCTTCTCATACATCTTGTGCGTGGAGGTGGTTCCTATGATGCGGCTAAACTTCTTCAGGCCTTTCAGCAGATGGCGTGGGGCCCCGTTGTTGCGCAGCACCCTCAGACTGTGAGACAGACCTTTGGCAAGATCCAGGTCATAGTTTGCCATCTTCCAGAGGTGAAGCAGCTGCAGGATGTACTGCTGGGGCAGACAAGTGGAAACTACGGCCCGGACATCCTCCAGCTTAACTTTGACCCCTGGCAGGCTGTCGGTGACCTTCAGGAGGTCCACTAGGGTTAGGTTTTTTAGGCTGTTGCAGCGGGAGACTTTCTTCTCACAGAGGTTGACACCTGAAGTGACATGTTAAAAACATTACAACACTAATCCAGGACTTAAAGGTCCCCTATTATACAGTTTTTCATCAATATATTATAGGTCTCAGATATAAACAAAACATGTCTCTGAAATGTTTGGCTCGGAATACCAAACAGATCACCCATCGCAGCATCCCATAAACCCCTCTGTTTCAGCCCTGTTTCAAAAGTGCTGATTCTGTGTCTGTTACTTTAGATGAAAATAAGGAGCCACTCCCCACGCCCCTCTGCGAGATATTTGGTTAAAATAAACACAATAGGCACTTTCCACCAAAAAGGATCTGGAACTAGTCCCTAGTTCGCACGAATCTTTTCACCTCCAGATAGTCCCTGCTAGAGAGGTAGTACTTTCCTGAGGAGGAAATGGTTCGTGGGTGTGTCGGCCACACTAACAATTTCTGATTGGCTGGGCGAATTGCAAAACATGCCCCCTAAAACTCACAAAGGTTTTGTAAAGAAGAAGAAGAAGAAGAAGAAGAAGAAGAAGAAGAAGAAGAAGAAGAAGAAGAAGAAGAAGAAGAAGAAGAAGAAAGAAAGACAGAAGAAAGAAGAAGAAGAAGAAAGTAAGAAGAAGAAGAGAAGAAAGAAGAAGAAGAAGAAGAAGAAGAAGAAGAAGAAGAAGAAGAAGAAGAAGAAGAAGAAGAAGAAGAAGAAGAAGAAGAAGAAGAAGAAGAAGAAGAAGAAGAAGAAGAAGAAGAAGAAGAAGAAGAAGAAGAAGAAGAAGAAGTGAATTCAGCGTTTTAATTGCCTAATCCTCCCTCAGGAATTTATTCCGGTGAGAACGCGATCTACTAGGACAGTTCGAGGGACTAAAGAGTTCGGGGGGAACAAGTACCGGGGACAAGTACCGGCTAAGTACTTAATGGTGCTCTAGGAGGAGATTCAGATGATAAAGTGGGGGGTGTTACCTTGGTTGGTTATCGGCCAATGGTCACACAAGCCAACAAAACGTTATGACATCATAAAGTGGCCAAAATCTGATCAGCTCATTTTCAGACAGGTTTTTATATAAATGGATCAGGAGAAGAGTGAATATTTTTTCCTGAAACTTTCAGAATCTCTTAACACAGAGGGGACACATGTTTCTGTATAAAAGACATGAAAAAGTGGATTTTGCATAATAGGTGACCTCTAAATAAGGACTGGCTGAATCAAGAAGTGCACTTTTTTGTACCTTGAATGATGCCATACATCTTGTCATGGTCTTTGTTCTGCTCCCTCCACAGGCGCAGCAGCTGGAGGACCTGCTGCTGGGGGGAGCAGGCCTTCTTCACCTTCTCCAGGCTCTTACGGTCCACCCTCCGCCCGGGGAGACTCTCCAACAGCCGCTCCACCGGCACCGAGGACAGTCGTAGGGAAGAGAGGGACTGGAACACTGCCTCCTCACAAAGGTTCACATCTGGCAAGGGAAAGAAGTTGGCTTAAAACAGTATCCCAATAATGAGTTTTAGCAGTGGTCATATTATCCCAATAACAAAGTCAGTACATTTGTATAATTCACAGACGTTTCAATTGTGGGGCACAGGTTGTGTTTGGAATATATTTGGATTACATGGTTTGTTTGCTGCAGTGCCATTTGCCTATTAAGGTCATTACACACCAGGCCGATTTTCTGCGTCGATAGATGTCGATAGATGTCGGGCCGTCGATGAGCGTTGTGTCGCCCTACTCAGATTGGTCTTGGTCAATTTGTGTCTTTTCGGCCGTGTTCTTTGGTGTCAGTTTGGTGTGTAAGGAGCTTTACACGTCTGGATTTGTTTGTACGTGTTTGTGTGTTGGGTTGTAATTCAACCACAGCAGAGGAAATGATTTGGTCTCTTTCTATTGAAATCACATAACCACTATTAACTTTAGTTTGTGTTTCAACATAGCAACGATGTTTGCATATTGAACTGAAACAGTGAGGCGAGCTGTGCGAAAATGTGCTGCTCTTTACTGCTGAGTCACACTCCACTACACAATCACCTTCACTATTCGTCATTACGTTCCCTACATTTTTGCAAGCCATGGGCCCCTGGGCTGTCCTTGTAGGGATTTTTTTGTTTTGCAGACAGAAGGATTTCCGTAATACACAAAACAGTCATAGAGGGAAATGAAGTGAAACTGTTGACGTGAGATTACAACTTTCACACGATTATAGGCATTTCTGTGTTTGTGTGTGTAAAATTAAAAGAAACATTTAGGAAAACCGATGTCGTTGTAGTATGGTTGAGTTTAATGTGAAGAGGATATTAGGCTTGTTTCTCTGATGTCTGGATAATTGGAGTGTGGCTTGTTCTATTATTGACATTGATGTCCTCGTGGTTTCTCCAAATCACGTAGCTACTTTGGTAATCCCAACTGCTTTCAATTTCCTTATTCTTTGTAAAGAATCCTGCTTTACTCTTCCAGGATCTGCTGCAGACAATCAGTGGTTGTGTAATCCACATGAAGGCAATTTGTGAATGAATGTTTTAGGAGAGCATCACCCTGCTTTAGGGACAACAGCTTTTTTGAGTTTCCTACCAAGAGTGGTGTGCATGAGTGTGTCAGGGTGTGTGTGTGTGTGTGTGTGTGTGTGTGTGTGTGTGTGTGTGTGTGTGTGTGTGTGTGTGTGTGTGTGTGTGTGTTTGCCAGGGACTGTGGTTTTTCTGGGCTGTGGGAATTCAATGTCATATTTGAGGCTTCTCCTCTTAAATTAATTGTCAGCATCTGTCATAGTTAGAGCCTGAGTAACAAAGACTTACCATCTCGTTGTGTGTCTCTGTGCTTGACTCAGTTTCCTCTGTTATTGTAGGGTGAGGATGTGACAGTTAACAAAGTAATTGATCCATCGTGGGTGATTATGACAGTAGGGGCATAAACATCCCATCCAACCCCTTTGCTTTGGATTTTCTCACTTGTGTTGGTTTTCAGGCACGCAAGAATTTGTAAAAGAATGGAATCTTGACAACGGACCTGACCGAGGAAATCCCCTGCCTTCAGGAATGAAAACGACCACATGTCTGAAATAATTCAGCTCTGGCTGATTTTAGGTTGTTGACAATTGAGGTTTGCTCAGAAACATCTTTGTGTGTGTGTGTGTGTGTGTGTGTGTGTGTGTGTGTGTGTGTGTGTGTGTGTGTGTGTGTGTGTGTGTGTGTGTGTGTGTGTGTGTGTGTGTGTGTGTGTGTGTGTTGTGTGTGTGTGTGTGTGTGTGTGTGTGTGTGCTGTGTAAACACTTCTCTGATTCCTACCCGCAATAGTCCTGAAACCTCCATATGAATCTTATTAACGATTAAAACCGGCTGGAGAATTTTCTTACCAGTTTGGCACAAAGAATGTTGCTGAGAGCACTCCGGAGAAGCCGTTTTGTTTGTACAGAGGCTGTTCGAAGTAGACGTGCCCCATCTCAGTGTTTTTAAGCCCAAACCGGAGCAGTTTTTGTGGGGCTGACATGACTCGGTAGAGGAGTCCCTGATTGAGAAATGACCCGCGGGACAACGTTCACACGTGGTGTCACTCACCGGTGTACCTGGAAGAGATAAACACAGGATCATGTCTTAATTTCATGAATGAAACACCTCTGTGAAGTGTGTGTATCACATTTTGAACCGTGAGAAGTAAGCAGCCCGTTCGATGTTTCTTATCTTTATAATCAAACATCTTCATTAGCACATCTCGCCCTTTTCTGTGTGTGAACATGATCTGTTGCAAATACTAGCTGACATCGAGGTGATGTGATTCCAAGAACTATGACCACAACGACATGAGAGCACATCAGGGTGGAAGATGACACATTTGTGATGTTGGGTATGACTCACACAGAACCCCCAGAGTTTCTATATCTTATATCTGTTATCAAATGGGAAATACGTAACCGCAGAGTTTGATTTGTCAGCAGATTTTTCAGACTAACATCTGCCAAAAAGGCTATTAAGGTCAACTTCTCATTGAAAATAACCTTAAAAATGTACTTATTTAAAATCATATTTTATTGACTTGAAGATGACGAAACACTTGTATTTTCTAATAATATCTGAATTTATAAAATTATTTATTTTTGTTTATTTTTAAATGTTTTATTCACTGAAATGTTAACCTTATGATGTAATGTTAAATACATTATCCCCAATTGATCACATTTTAAATATTTGTACCCATTTACTGACATTTTACCAAATGTCAACTAGTTTTAACCACAGATAATGACACTGCAGTAAACCAATAGACCTTGTGGTTTGTGACATGCAGCACACACGAGGACATGACCATGTTGTGGAACTAGGTATTTCTCACATCCTTATTTTTTTCAATCACTAAAGCGTAGAATAGAAAATGTGTGGGAGGAGGCTTGACCTTTGAGGAGTTTCCCCTCCATCGTTGCACAGTTTCACAAACTAGCACTAAACCATGAAACCACTAACTGATATGCATACAGTAAACGTGCAAATGTTTCCTGTACCTGTGATGTACAGCGCACAAGAATGAGCCAGCCTAACTGTAATGAGGTTGCACATACTGGCATGAATCTTAGTTTTTTTCTCAGAATTTCCTCTGTAAATGCAGAATCAGCATGTTAGCACTTAACCCACGTAAGATATATCTTTAGATGTTATCTGAAGCAGAGGTGACAGCTCTGTGTATTAATTCAATAAATTGTCTCGTGAACCAATGCAAATATAAAAAATGTATGACAGAGTAGACTTAGAAATAACCGTTTGAGAAATGTAAGATTATTACCTCTATGGCCCTAGTTCCTATCTTACTTTTAGATATATTTTTAATAGTCTCTTATCCGTCTATCAGTCTTAATTTTTAGCAAGAAAATATTTGGTTGAATGCTGTACAAAAATCTTTAGACTTTTAGATCATGATTATCATGAAATAATTGCTGGTTGCAGACCTTTTATAATTGTACATGTTATTGGTATTGTATATCATGTTCTACTGTGCCTTTCTAAGATGACACCAAAATAATTTCCAAAAACACGGACAAAATAGTTTCCAAATACACAGCTGCGACCTTAAATCTTGCGTTCAGAGAGAGAGAAAACAATTGCAACAATAAACAGACAATTCAGGAAATCGAGCAACGGAGTCATAAAAGTAATGTCAACCAATGGGTTTCTGACATCCTGTGGTTTAAAGGTCTAAAACCACAACTGAAGACATTACATAATAAGTCCTTCAGCTTCATGGGGAATCCCCTGAAATGCTGTCTCATGTCTGCAGAGTGTCATTAGACATTAGGGTCCGATGTTATATCCATTTTTTACAGTAGGAATGTACGGAAAATGTTTTTTCATATTCAGTATGGTGCCAACGCTTACAGGGGTCGCATAATGACCAGAAACCATGGAAAAGGTTGTTTCATCTATGCAGCCGCTAAAATCCACTCTCAGGTCTGAGATGAAGTCATGAGAAGCGCAGTGCCAGTTTGTGCTGCGGTTTCAGTAGAAATATCAAATTCTGTTCACGGGAATCTTGAAATTTAGCATCAACCGCTCTTTAAGTTTCCCACAAGCACTACTGACGTACCAAGGAGAGAATCTGTGAGGAATATCAGGTCAGATATCCGCCATGATAATTACATCCTTGGGTGCATCTGGCACAAAGATTAGCCAAGACTGCATCTGGTGCTGTATTGGCAACAAATGACCAAGAGACAGTCTTTGTCTCTGGAGATTCTGTCTAGTCAAATTTATGTCATTCTTTAGAGGAAGAAAATCATTTTATATACATTACAGTGAACTGATTTTCATTGTCTTTTTATTGGGATTCAAACAATAGCAGTCTGAGCTAAAGACAAAATCAATATCCCTGCAAAATACTTAAATAAATCTTTATCCTCTGCACTATATCTGAGTCTGTGCCAGACAATCTGCAGTGAATAAAAAAAAGGAAGCACAACTTCAGGAATGAAAGGTTGTGCCGTTTAACCGAGACATTATAAACTGATCCCTGTATTTTAAGTTTCCTCTTTAAATAAGCTGTTAAAGTGCTCTATCATGCATGAAGAGGAACAAGTGAAGAATACTTTTGGCATTGTCGTGTGATACTCTACTGCAAATAGGAACTCAAAAATAAATGGCAACTGAGCCCTACAGCACATGAAGGAGGCATATCGTGCTTTTTTTAAGCTTCAAACTTGTATTTTGGGTTATTACTAGAACATGTTGACATGCTTTGACTTTTAAAAAAAACACATCATTTTTTCTAACAACGTCTGTCTCAGTATACATATATTCACCCTTTGTCAAAAACACTTAATTGTAACGCCTGCCTCTTTGACACGCCCTCCCAGAAATAGTAAGTAGTTAGATCAGAATTAAAAGTAGAACATATTGCGTTATGAGTAAGTACAGTCATATAATAAAATCATTATTTTTATACATGGCACAAAGAGGAAAAAGGATAAACGTTGATCTTTTAAAAGATGCAGTCAGCCCCCATGGAGTGCTGTGACAGCATGTGTCTATGAATAATATGGATATGCATCACATGGTGATACCGTGACAGGAATTGGAGCCTAAATGGAATGAAATTATGCTGGAAATAAGTGCTGTATTTGAAAGTAATTAAGTTCACGGAAAATATGTAATCATTTTCCAAAGTATAACCACATCAGGGTGACTTTTTCATTTCCATTGCGCTATTTTCTTCAGTAATATTTGAGTCTTTATTCTCAAAGGCCATACACATTTTTAACTTCTCCCTCATCACTCTAATCATCATAGTTTCTTCATTTATAATAATTTTAATTCAAGTGACAAGCCAAAGCTGTTTGCAATGAATATCAAAAGATAAAACTTAGAAATAGTTTAGGACAGGATTATGATGCATCAGTGATGCGACAATTGAACTGTGAAGTTTCAGCCAACACTGCCCAAACTCAGAGTTGGTCAGGTGTGGAAGTGCAAGATAGACGTGCATGAATGTTTTTTTACAATCACACAAACACACAATTTCTCTTGATAGAAAAACAAACTGTAGCATTTATATGGCATGTAAATGCATACTACATGTCTCTGTAGAAGACAGAGAAATAAGAAAACATAAAAAACCAGACTAATGGCCATGTCCTTTTTGTGTTTTATACTGTATGTTTAACTATTACAGACAGCTTTAAACCAAACTCTGTGTCTCTGTGACAAACAAAGAGTGGTTCTAGGAAATGTCCGAGACAGTTCAAAAGTAGAAGTTGTTTCTAGGAAAAGAGACGTCTGCATCTGGAACAGATCAGATTCACAGAATCAAAGAAAGATGAAGAGATAGAAAGAGAAGAGCTTTCAGTGACACAAGGGAGACAACATCGTAATGTGAATATGCTGTTCTGTAACTGATGTGAGTCTGCTTTGTTATTTTGTTTCCTTACTGAGGAAGCATATCTGGAATTTAACTGATTTGAGTGAGACTCAGGGAGAGTATTGCATAAGATGAGAAGATTAAAGAAAATATAAATATATAGTAATGGGTATCTACTCAAAATACAGAGACAATTACACACTGCACGGTATAACAATAACAACAGAAAAACTGCATATATAACAGATACACTATGACCCTGTGAGTACAATTATAACAATGAGGCAATAGGACCCTGTCCGTGCTTCTTCTTAGGATGTGTGCTTACTGAATTTCAATATGGACAGTATGGATGCCTACTTATAACCAGAAATCTCAAATTTGAATCTTATTTATATGACCTAGTAGGCAGGAAACCCACAACATAACATATTTAATATCTTCTTTAAAAACAATCTTAAACTTACCTAAAGCTGTCACTCCGTATCCGGGTGGACAAGAGCTGTGTGTAATGCAGAACTCCACCACAAGGTGGAAACCTGGAGCACACTCACAAAGCTGGTCGTGGGTGCTGTTGCACTGCTGCTTCACAAGCTGTCGCTCCTTGCACACCTGAACACAACACAGTCACACACACATTGAAACATTGCTGCTGCATGCACACAGTGACATACAATAAAGGCTGCTTGACATGCACATATATGATCAGAGAGCATACGTGAGTAAATAAAGTGCCATAAGAAAGTATACTGTATAGAACAGGAATATAAATTGGGGAATATGTTAAAATAGATATGACATAATTCAGAGTGGCAAAGAGGAACACATCTAAACTGCGGGGGAAGATCCCAATACCACAATGAGCACATTTAAACTTTCATTTTTAGAAATAACAACTAAAGTGGAAACACCAGTTTCCGAAAATAACAGATGCTTTGCCAAAATGTAAACAAACCGTAAAGTTATGCAACTAATGAAAAGGCATTGGACAACCACAGAGGAGTAGATAAAAACTTTAAAAGCAGATTGAACTTTAGTGGAATTCCTGTCTGTGATGTGAATGAAGATGTGTTTGATTGTATGTATGAAGTTGACACACACAAAAGAGATCAAAATGAACCTTCGGTTAACCTTTTGGCCTCATACGTACCGAGGTGCAGTATTGGCAGGTATCCCCCCAGTGCCAGTTTTCAGCAAAATGCCTCTCAGGACAGACCTGGCACTCTGTGGGTGTGTCGGTGGTGCAGTGTCGCTTCACAGCGGTGCCAGGAGGGCACTGGTCGCACAGCAGGAGGTCAGAGGTCACAGGGTCGAGGTACTGGTACTTCGGCAGTATGTCCTGCTGCTGAAAGGCCCAGGAGAAAGATGCTGTGAAAAGCTGCAAAATAAAGAAAGAAGTGTGTTGAATACAGAGTCCACAGCAGTGACAACATCTCTAAAGAAACGCATCTCGTGCACAGCTCCTCTTTGGAATAATGTCCAAATATTATTACATTTTGCAGCACTCGCCAAACCAAAGCTTCCAGTAAGAAAGAGTTGAAAGAAAGGTCAGAGCTGTAAAGTTAAAGCTCCTGGTGGACACACAGTCCTAAAGTGATTTCCTCTGCTTTATAGAGAGACGTTCAGGGAGAGGAGGAGAGAAATCTGTGTCCGTTTCGTGGATCACTGCACAGAGGCAACAACAGTACATTTTTAATCTTTGCATGTTTCTTGGAAGAAATGCAAAGCATTATTGCTATTTGTTCAATTACACATCATATTGTATTTTATTCCTTTCATTGCTTCTTGAATCTTAAAAGTTAACCGACGCTTTTAAATAAATGCAGATCTTTTAGTCATGCCAGTGTTTTGCACATATTAAATTCATGGATTTGTATGACAGAGGGTTAGAGGATGAGCAGCTTTGTGTTCTCTGACCGAAGCAGCCGTCTCCTATCCTGTCAGCAGCCGCTCAGGGAGATAGCATGTGAAGTAATTCAACAGTGATTTACTGCAGTTTAATACTACCCTGGAGGAAGGGCAAAACACGGCACACCCATGTAACCCCCACCCCAATCCCATTGATATGGACGCTCTGTTAAGTGGTTGGCTGTTAGTGAGGCTTCTGAAACACACATGTAGCGTGTGACTCAAAAACAAGCCCATGTATCATCGTTTGACCATGATCTGTAGAGATTTGGCCTAAAATCCCAGATATCAGTTGGTGAGCGTGTTTGACATGCAGCCATGCAGCCGGTGGAGGCCACATGCAGACCAGATGTCACACATCTGGGTCATTCTACCCTCAAGTCCCTCAGCCATTGGCTATGTGGACTTTCCCGTTGGACCGGATACATCCTCACTTCTTGGACAAACTAACAATGGATTGTCCTTGCTTTGATTTTGTGTGTGTGTGTGTGTGTGTGTGTGTGTGTGTGTGTGTGTGTGTGTGTGTGTGTGTGTGTGTGTGTGTGTGTGTGTGTGTGTGTGTGTGTGTGTGTGTGTGTGTGTGTGTGTGTGTGTGTGTGTGTGTATGCGTGTATTCTTGTATGTGGTTTTTCGCTTTCCACCATGTTTGTTAGTGCATCTTCCAAAAATGAATGAATTTATGCTACAAACAACTACAAAACATTCATGCATGTGGGTACAGATGCAGGAATGTGTGTTGCTGCATGTCTTTGTGTGCATGGTTGTCAGTGTTCAAGTCCAATCTTCGTCTTCCTTAGTGTTGGTCTGTGTTCTCTGCGGTCTCCTCTCCTGGCTGCTGTTCACAAAGAGGACTGTTGGAGGTTACTGGGCTTTCCCCATTCACCACCAGAATAAGAATCACTCACCCCTCTGCTACACAGTTTACCCGATACACACCATTGATCTCCTTTCCCGCGTGACTGTTTTTGTACTGATCACATTCACCTTAAAATTTTGCAATCACAAGACACAATATACTATGAGTATGCGTGTGTGAAACATAACATGAAACAGAGAGAAAGAATGATATTTTTTGGAAATATGTGTGCATATGTCTCTTACTAACTATTATATTACAACTAAATTGGTATGTGTTGTGTTCACTTTTAATAATTGAATAAACGGTATATGTGTGGTTTTAAGCCTTATTTATTTTTAAGGCGTTCTGAACCTAAAATGATGAACTACACAGAAAAGAAAACATGCAGGTCCTTCTATGTCTGCTGGCTTTTGCAACGGAGGTAATTGAAAATGATAGTAAAAATAGATGAATGGGTTTTACACACCATAATAGAAACCTAGGCTTCATACAGCCTGGCGAGCGCAGAGGTTTTCCCGGCAAAGCGGATCGACCTCTTAGCAGAACATTTGGTGGATGGCTTTCATCCACAGTGACTCGCTTAGCAGTACCAAAGCTGTTTTTTTGTAGCATGGGTGGCCTCAGCGGGAATGAAACCCATAATCACAGTCTTGCTCTTCAAATTAAGAAGTGTATATACACACTATTAAGCCGTGAGACCACATCCAATCAATTTAGAAACATCAGGAGGGTGGAGCCAGGGACCGACAGAGGGTCACCTGGGTTTTTTACAAATCTGGCTACGGTTACACTCGTCCCAGTGAATTTAATCTCGGGCTCGAGGATGAGTTTACTGGCAGGACTGAAATCATGGGAGCCGATGAGCCTGAGCACATGTGGAAGTGGTCAGGTTCATATTGTTTTTCATATCCTTCATACAGCACAGTAGTTTGGATTGACTCCAGCCATAATATACAGTGCAGAGCAAAGCAATTGAGAGCAAGAGTAAATAAAAGTAATGTAAAACAGCACATGCTCAGAGATGTAACTTTATGAAATCACATCTTTGACCGTCGGTAAAAAATCCCTTTGAAAGAAATAAAAGCATAATTTAGTTCAACAGTTTAATGGCCATCATAATACCTTTGCTGCCTGTTATTTATTCTTTTATCTTATTCAATTTAAAAGCTGGCATGAAAACAAAGCCATTTATAATTAATTTCAACCACATCTTTAAGCTACTCAACATACAATGTTTTAGTTTTCAACTTATGACACACTCAGGCAGAACCACACTGTGTCAAAGCAGCCAGTACAGTAGCTTTCCGCTACCGAAAAACTGTCAACTTTTTAAGAAATAACTTATTGGTAAGATGTCCTGTGGTGAGCGTGAATTAATCGATTAGCAGTTAAAAATACATATTGAACTTTTGACCCTTCTTGTCTCCTTAGAAGTTGCCATCTGACAACATCACGCACAACCGTTGGAAACCCAAATTACACAGCAGCTAGCGGCCACTGACAGCCATAATTATACTGTTAGCATCATCAGAGTGAGGCATATACATGAACAGCTGTTGGTAAAGGATGGATGAAGGTATGAAGGTATTAATAATGTTTCCTAAGAAAGCTTCCCTTGACCAAGGCAGGGCAGCTGCTATGTAAATGTGTAAAAAAGGGTTAAAATGGCTTCATCTGATACATTTTTGTAAACTGAAAACTATGCCTGTAAATATCTTTTGAAGTGAGCTGGGAGAAAACCTTGAGTTTATGTAGAGCAAAGATAATCTCTTTAAATCCTTAACAGAGAACATGTAGTTCTTAACCGATGTTATCTTCTTGAAAGAATCAAAAACAAGTCCAGCCTGTGAAGTGTGGTGATACATAAGATCATCCCATCAGAGAAACACCAGAGAGACATCAGAGAGACATCGGAGAGACATCATAGAGACATCAGAGAGACATCGGAGAGACATCAGAGAGACATCGGAGAGACATCAGAGAGACATCAGAGAGACATCAGAGACTCGGAGAAAACAAATCCAGGGTGATGTTTAGTGGACTAAGTCATTCACAGTGCGTTTATCTTTCACTTCGTTAGCACACATGTCTTAGAATTAATGACATAATTTCTGAAAATGACTTTTTGCTAGACCAGGTTTATAGGACTTATGAGAGTTTTAGTTTTTCTATAAACTCTGTCTTTTCAAAAATGATATCCATAGACAAGTATAATGATGACAAAGTGCTTTGGTAAAGTAGGCTGAACTGCACTTTGAGCGCTGCCTGATAGATGGTCTAGAGCGGACTAAAGAGTTCAGACACCTGACGGAAATAGTCTTTTAAAATGAACACACATGCTTTCCATATGAGGTTAAAGTGATAAGCATCCACAGATGTTGGGCGGGTAATGGTCTTATTGACCAGATAAAATATTTTTCATAAGAGGAATTTCCCGGAAGATACAGTAAAAACTGCGGAAAGATACATGTATGTGTTATATGAGGGACACAATTTGGTTTGCTTTGATATGATACAAATGGAAATAAAAAATAAAAATGTTGATGAAGTTACTTGTTTGTCCCCTCAATAAATGCAAAAATGGAAAAAAGGTAAACCAATAAAACATCTGTAGGCATACAAAAATGTAACACCGTAACATGCAGTCTTCAAATGATCCCAGTACAACTTCCAACAGACTTCAGGCTACAGAAGTTACAATGAGAGTAGAGCACATTGAAAGGTAGAGAGGGAGTAGAATCAGAGTTTGGGTAGCCCAAGGTCAGTTTAAATTCATGGCATGAGGAGAAGAGCCATGGCACAAAGGGACCAAACCACACTACACCAGCTTATCCACCAGGCACATGGCTTCAGTTAACTGTAGAACGCAGGTGGTCTGAGGGGGGATTCCAGCTCTTAGATGTGTGTGTGTGTGTGTGTGTGTGTGTGTGTGTGTGTGTGTGTGTGTGTGTGTGTGTGTGTGTGTGTGTGTGTGTGTGTGTGTGTGTGTGTGTGTGTGTGTGTGTGTGTGTGTGTGTGTGTGTGTGTGTGTCCTGTGAATATGGAATCTGTCTTTTTCACTTATATAGGGACAGAGAGGGACTTGCTACCATTCTGCATCACTGAGATTTGTATAATTAAATTACATTATTAATAATAATAATATTGCCTGCTAGGCTCACTTTATTTACTCATTTTATCATCTCAAACTTAAAGTGTGTCTTTTGAATTTGCTGATCTAGGGAACATGGGTTTTATCAAATGTTTAGCACATATTGGTCAAATAATTAGATACTGTATGATCAATTAATTAAACCTAGCTAGTTTGCTTTTGTAATATATACCAAGCAATACTATTTGCACTTATAACATTCATGTCATGAGCAAAAACAATTACTCAATTCATCAATTAACAATTATCATTTTGAATGGTTTTAGAAAAAGAAAAGAGAAACAATCAAAATAAATGTATTTGACCAAACTAATGATTGATTATTCAACAAAATAATCTGCCCAAATGTTGAACAGGGAAGGAGGACAGATCATTTGTTTATCTTTAATCAGTCGATTAATTCAGATGTATCACTCATTTGAAACAAATGCATTAAAATCACATTTGCTTCAGTACTTATATTCTGCTGTATACTTCTACTCCATATAAATAGGAAAATGTTGCACTTTACTCTTCTACATTTTATATTTAGTAGTAATGTTACAGATTTAGATTATACATTAAGAAAAATATGAGCTTATAAAATAGTTGCTAAAGACGAACAGTCATTAACAACACATTTGGTTTGTATCCTTCTTAAAATCCTTATCAAACATATCTAGTGTGAGATTCACTTTCAATACAGACTTTTACATCAGATCAGCCTGGCGGTTTTTGATACGATGTATACAGTTGTAAGATAAAACAAAGAGAGAGACCAGCATGAGATTGAGACAATAACAGCTGTATCTCTTTTGCCTATTCCGTTTCTGCTCTTTGTCTCAGACAATTGTTCAGTCACTCACACAAGATCAATGAGTTCATAACAAGAATACACCCACACACACACAAACACACACTTCTGCTATCACTACTACTGTTGATGGAAAAGGGGAAGTAAGACGTGAGCAACTTCCAGAGGTAATCGTTGTTTCTGAATAAACGTTTGTGCTTGTTTGTTTAAAACATGTTGATCCTGTACCTTCACACACGCTCTGTATGTCTCCCTCCCCCCTATCCCCCTACTTCCTCACCCTTTTTCTTCAGTGTTTGTCTAGAAAGAAGTTGCGTCGGTTTGGCCCGAGTGACCTCTTAAGCTCCTCTGTCTGCGTGTGAACCTGCGGCTAAATTTAGGGAAGTTCATGCAGCTAATGCCAACGGCCTAAACTGAGAGTGGAGGCGTAAAGATAAAGGGAGCACAGATGAAAGACACTGATCGAGGGAGATAATAGGGAGTGGCTGGATGGAAAGTTTTCATGCAGGTTAGCTGGCTGTCTGATTGGCTAGCTGGCTAAACCTCACTTCTCCCGCACTGAATTTTGAAACTTGTGTCCACACAAAATAAAACAAAAAAGACTCACAACATAGCGGTGTCCAATTTCCATCCAAAGTTTGTTCCACTGACATCATCCCGAGCAAACACAAAGTATGTTTTTTCAGCAGACAGAACGCAAACCACACGAGTCAGAAGTATGCAGGGGAACAGGAAGAGCACACAGGTGAATTTACTGACGGACCTCTAGGGCAAAACAAAGTTTGCAACACACAATTGCAGAGTGTCCCTAGAATTTCTTACAGATGAAATTAAACTGGCTGTTTGTCAAGTGGAAGAAAGGTGCAGGGCATCCAGAGGGGTGCAGATTGATTCATTGGCTGGATGCTGATGGTAAGAATGAGCAGTCTGCACACGTCTGACTCATGAGTTGGCTAAATCAATGCTTGCACGGCTGGCCAAATGACGGACTGACTGACTAGCTGAATGATGGAGGAACACTATGTCAGAAATTGTTCACACTAAATATTTGCCTATTTAAGGTAAATGGTGGAGTACAGACAGTGCCGTGGACGCAACACTCAGTGTGGACGATATCACTTTAAATGATGGCAAACACGCACCTTCCTTTGTATGTCACCTATTTTACAAACAACTAAGTGACACATCTTACAAACCAAATTAAATAATTGACTGACCTTTCACATCACAATATAGGATCCCTCTTTCACACACACGCACACACACACAAACGGCAGATAGTGGGTCCAGTGTTTTGTAGCTACAGTGATCTCTTTCTGCCCAGATACACATCTATTCATGCACATATGCAAAACTTGCAAAGTCCCCAACACAGCACTGCATGCAAAACACACCAAGGGAAATAATGACTCCCACCCTGCTGGCATACATCCCCTGAGAAGGATAGAACAAATGATTGTAATGTCAATGTCAGAGAAAGCAGCACCTGCTGGAAACATGCTGCAGGCCTCTATTGGGTGTTGAATTTCATTCATTTTCAAATGTGCAAAAGACTAAGCAATGAAATGTGACCTAAAGTAAACGTTCACGCATTGGTTGATATTGTATATCTTTTTTGTCTACTTTGTGGGTATTTATTTTGGGAATAAAAGTGGGGGGGAAATATGAGTTCAATAAATCATCAAAAGCAAACAACTTCCAAGTCTATTTAAAAAAAAATTGAATAATCTACTTTTATTCAAGTTCTCATCATCATACAGTCCTCAGAGACTTACTTGAAATACTTACATCAGGTTAAATGATTTCATTAACGGCATACTGTTATAATAAATTACAAAAAAACGCCTCAGAAAACATGGAAAACTAGAATCAACGTCTCAACACAGTCCCAACATAAGCTGTATAAACTCATATTGCAGAGCTGCTATATGGGGCTGCATTGTATTTTCAGTCATGTGTTACTTGATCCATACCATGCACATCATAAATACGTTTGTTTAGTTCCTTCAGACAGTAAACCATTTACCTAATAAAAATGTCATGCAAGTATTCTTAACACCTTTTTTCACGGGCATTACAATGCGTCACACAAATATGCCCTTTTAAAATGTGACTACAAGTAGGTAGCACTGTTGACTATAGGAAAACACATCTGAATAGGAACTATGAACTCTCACGTGGGATCAGGTCTACAATCAAAAGCAGTGATTCTTTCAAACAAGACCGATTATGATCCATTGACAACAAAATGTCAAAGCCAGAAAAAAATACATCATTTCAGGGACACCGTATAACTAAATATTCAACCTGTGATACATTTAACAACATCACATTGCCAGCACAGACGCATGCTGTACAGATGGGCACTGTTCGGGAATGGGAATAAAGCGAATGCCCATTCCCACTCTATGACATATCTGAAACCGCGTGTAGCGCAATACTAATCCAAGTCTCGCAAAACAATAAAAACGAAATCATTCCATCAGGAAGAAGCGTCCCTTTTCTCCAGCGGACCATACACTCGTGTTTACTCACCACTATCAGTTTCATGGCCGGGTTGGATTTCGCTATCCGTGCACTCATCTCCACTGTGTAAAAGTGAACTGCGGTATGATGGGGTCTCCATCACAGATCTGTATTTATACAGTAGGCGAGGGAGCGAGGGAGAGGGAGAGAGAGAGACGGAGAGGAGAGAGAGGGAGAGAGTGCCCACCCACCTTGTTATCCAGTGAGTGCACAAACCTCTCTCTGTCTCTCCCCTCAATCCTAAAAATAAATTGTTGCATCCTCAAGTGTTGCGTTGCAATTACGTAAAGAAAGGCAATAATGTCGTAAGCAACTATGAAGGAAACAAAGCAGTCTAAAAAGAAATATCCAATGAACATCAAAAGATGGGAATTTAAAATAAGAGTAAAAAGCAAAGCAAATATCCCCTTAACAACTTAGACTAATTGTGTCAAATTGTAGAGGAATACTGTAAAGTAGCAAACAAAGTCACTTATTTCCAGGGAAGGGAATATATCACCTATTGCTATACAAAAGTGTTTATTTGGTGGGAATGTGAGTTTTACATTTTTAGATAAAAAGAAAGCCTATAATGTATCGGTTTGACATTTTTCGTATGATGGTAATATAATACAGCGATGAGGTAACATTTGAAAGCAACTATTTCCATATGCCTATATACAAATTATAAAGCATGACGAAGTGGTTTGTTATGTGTTTGACAAGCAGTCTGTAACAAACCCACACTTGCAAAGTTTGCCAGCATGTACATTCAATGATTGATAGGGGTTTATTTGGACCAGTCAAAATTATTTTGTTAGGCGGGTTATGCTTATTTGAACATTTGGAAATGGTGTCTCAGTAAATTCTGACATCACGGTGTATGTGCTGAGGAGAAGAAATTTGAGGCACAAGAATCAAAGATGAAAATAATTATTTTACTCTATTTTGTTTAATTGTTACCTATCCCATAACTAATTTCCACTAACAATTGTTCTTAAACCTTTACTTATTCATGTAAATGTAAATTCATGTACATTTCACGGAGAGCCATGTTTTCTTTTTGGAGGTCCTGATCATACTTACAGTGATAAACATTATCCTGCAGTCCTGGGATTAAACCAGCAACCTGTTAAAGCACAATTGACTGCTAAGCTGTATTGTGATATTTGTGTGTAACTTAGTATATGGTTAAATAAACTGTATGAAAACCAGATTAAACTGCATTCAGTATATAAATAATTACAAATGTTTTTATTAAAATAAAGCATGACTCAAGGTCCACTTACTAGCCAATTATACACACGGCATCTATTGCACGTCTGTCCGTCCTGGGAGAGGGATCCCTCCTCTGTTGCTCTCCCTGAGGTTTCTCCCATGTTCCCCTTTAAACTGTGGGTTTTCTCCGGAAGTTTTTCCTTGTACGATGTGAGGGTCTAAGGACAGAGGGTGTCTTATTGTCATACTGATATTCTGTACAAACTGTGAAGTCCACTGAGACAAATGTAACATTTGTGATATTGGGCTATATAAATAAACATTGATTGATTGATTGATTGATTGATTGATTGATTGATTATACTGTCTAATAAAACTACCCAATTACAAGCGCCATGTTCCTCTAGTTTCCTTGGGTCCCGAATAAAGAAACACATAGCTAACTCCATCTGTTGATGACCATTAAATGTAGTTGAAAGAGCTAGGAAGTGGATCTTTATTTTCTCGCAGATCAAACATGTTATACCTTTCCGAGATATCAGTCTTCCAAAGCTACAAAATTGTGCGTCCTGCATCAAATGTTGTTGAACAATAAATAATTGTTCAATCTGTTACCCTATACTTCTATAATTGTGAGATATTCATTGACATGATGCAGTCCCTAGCCCCTAACCTTAACCATCACAACTAAATGCCTAACCATAACCCTAACCTCTAACCTCTAACCCAAACATTAAAACCAAGTATGAACCTTCAAATTGTTTTTTGAAGGTCTCTATAAAAGGTCAGGAAAAAGTGAGGACCAAACGAGGTCCTCACTTTCAAAACATTTTGTCCATTAAACATAAATTGGTTCTCACAAAATTAAATATCTACCAATGAAGTTAATCCAGACATTCACCAGTGATAGTTCCAGTTTAAAACTTAAAATGTAGTTTATCTTACTCTAATGTTGTCTGTTTCATATCTTAAATAAAGTGTTCTAAAAACCTTTATGGATCACAGTAGTCAAATACAAGGTTTCAAAGTAAGAGAAACTCCCACAGTGAGGTTAAAATACATCATGGGTACTGGACAACTCACATAGTAAACCCAAAAAGGGCACTCCCACACTGATCTTAACATATGATACTGATACAAGACCTCTGATGTCAGAGGTCCTAGAAACAACGTTGTCTTTTTCTAGCCGCTCACTCTCCACCCCCATGAAGAGGCATGACAAAATGTCACAGCCAGCTGACGTAGAAGCACAAGTTCTCAAATGGATCAGAGAAAATACACACTCACCCACCTACGAGTTTCCTAGGCATGTGAGAGAGGTCTTAGTGGTGAGGTCACAGCTCACCACAGGAGGACACATACACATACACATACTGTATACACATACAAAGGCAGAAAAATAGACATATCTTTCAGTATTGAGGTCAAGATACACCACAACAATGATGGAGCGGAAGCTAGACATCTATACTCTCAAACACACACTCATGACGAGCCTGACGTCTCAGCTGGCAGTCTGAAGCGCATGAGCAGGGAAACGTGGGTGTTAGGAGGTGAACCATACACACATTTAAATAAAAATACATCTATTTGCTGACTCACCGTATGCCCATTAATGGGGCTGGTGTAGGCCTGTCAGCAACAATTATAGGATATTTTTGATTTATTTGAGGCTAAGCATTGTCTCCTCAACCGTAGCCGGTGTGTGGCGTATTTGTTTTTAATTATGTTCCTGAAGCATGAATAATACATTAAATGAACCGCCGTATGGGACAATAGCGTTTCATCTGTCTGTCTGGTCAATGTGGATCAAAAAGGGATTTAAATTAAACTGCAAAGATGATGAGATTAGTTCATTGTGGTGCTTTTTACATCTTGTTTGCATACTACAGGCAGATATTGGATCCATCTCCACCATAGCCTAATATTGTTGAGATCCATGGTAACTCCTGTGTTCATATGTGTATATTTGTCTGGTTGCATAGTAGCGTGTGTGTGGTTATGTCTATATTAACCAGTAGTCTACCTTATACATAGAGGTCCCGCACATTTCCATAACAGATTTCATAAACAAATGAACAAAAAAGGGAACTCATAACTGTTGTTGTGTCAATGGTGACATGTAAAGGAGACAGTGACCTTTACCTATCTACATGACTTTGACTAGTGTATGCAAATCAAGCTTATTTGTAGGCAAACTTCGGAGAGAGAAAGAGATAGCAGATAAGAAAAACAGGATCCAATCATTCTGTTGACAGGCCCACAAAGAACCCAGAATTAAAAGCAGATATAATATCAGATATTAAAAATGATTGTATTAAGGAAGCAACTATAAAGTACAAATATTAACCCAAACTGTATCTGGATGATGTGGCAAAGACTATGAGGGTCCTCATTGAACTGTGCATATTCTACATGCCTGTGGTATTCACTTTTACAGGCCAGTTAATGGTCACTGTAACTGCTACCCCTGAACATTTTAAATAAAATGTCTTCCTTTTCACATTTCTGTACTGTTCAAAATACTTGAGGGATAATATGTGCTGCTAATAGGTTATGTATACTCTCTGTCTGTGGATTCAGGAACATTTGAGGATAGAGGATGTCATAAGTTACACATATTTTAGAGCACTCAAAGATAAATGTATGGTTGTGGGCTTCATAATTGAAATGTTCTTATCTTGTTTTTTGTTTGTTTGTTTGTTTGTTTGTAGCCTTTATTTAACCAAGTGAAAGCCCCTTGAGATGAAAAGATCTCTTTTTCAAGGGTGACCTGCAGGACATTAGTTACACATGTAACATAAAAACAACAGAACAACAATAAGGATGACAAACAACATAATGTACAGGGTACAGTTTACAAACTCTATTTACAGAGACAGGTACCATGAGTATCAAACAGCATGTCAGCCAGCTGAGTTTTAAAATGATGCAGGGGAACCAAAGTGCTCAGTTTTAAACATGTTTGCAGACTGTTCCAATTTAGTGGAGCTGCACAACTAAAAGCTTTCTTCCCTAAGACAGTCCTAGCACTTGGCACATTTAATAAAACAACATCAAGAGATCTCAGGTAATATGTACTTTCAATTCGTCGAGAGATCAGAGAGCAGATATAAAAAGGTAGTTTACCCAACATGGCTTTGTAAATGAACATGTACCAATGACTGAGCCTCCGTACAGTTAGTGAAGGCAGACCTGCCTTGGCATACAGGGTACAGTGATGAGTAAGTGCTTTACAGTTAGTAACAAATCTCAGGGCACTGTGATAGGCGGCATCTAACTTTTCCAGGCAATGGGCAGGTGCATTCATATAGATCAAATCACCATAGTCCAGCACAGGTAAAAAGGTCACAGTGACTAGCCTTTTCCTGGCTTCAAAAGAGAAACAGGACTTGTTTCTGAAAAAGAAACCTAGTCTAACCCTCAGCTTTTTAAGCAGGTTATTGACATGAAGTTTAAAAGTAAGACAATCATCAAGCCAGATACCTAGGTATTTATAACTGGTAACCACTTCAAGTACTTGTCCTTGCATAGTAACAATATCCAAAACAGGCTCTGGTGTCTTTTTAGCTTTTGAAAATAGCATTACCTTGGTTTTATCAACATTTAAAAGAAGCTTAAGTTCAGCGAGCTGAGTCTGAATAATGTTAAAAACAGCCTGTAATTTAACACCAGCCTCCTTAATGGAGGGCCTGCGCAATACATCACGGTATCATCAGCATAAAAATGTAAAGTAGCTTCATCCACATTTTCACCTAAACTGTTGATATATATGGAGAATAAAAGTGGACCTAAAACAGAACCTTGAGGAACAGCATTAGCAATGTTTAACCACTCAGAAGACAGCCCATCAAAGTGAACACATTGGGACCTTTCAGAGAGGTAGTTCACAAACCAACCCACTGCATGGCTGGATATGCCGATACTGAGTAGCCTCTGCTTTAAGATGCGATGATCGACGGT